ATCTGTTTCTCACATAATATATTGAATATAAAATAGCTGGATCTCTTGTAGTATAGTTAACCTCTTTACTAAATAAACCTATCGAGCTCGAATATAATTACCAAGCATAATTCCTAAATTTTATAATTAAGGGGCTATTTGTTTATATTTGGTATAACGATAACGGATTTGACGTCAATTAATTAACGCGCAGGTGGCGTTATTTCGAGATTGTATGGTATCAGCATTCACATACGTAATAACTTCAAGAAAACTTGGACTACGCTTAGTTTTACTTCAGAAAAGAACCCCATTTAGATATACTGTTACACTTAATTCTCTTAGCATAACCGCCAAAATGATTGACAAAAACCAATTAAAATCAGTAACTAAATGAAAAGATACAATTAAAAAAACGATATATATTACGGAACCTTTGTAGTAGATGTAGTAGAAAGAGTCCAAAAAAAATAAGTTCGAGATAATCAAGTTTATTCTATTCTGAGAATTAGTGTTTTGATTGGTTAATAATTTTGGATAATATTATGATGCGTCTCCCAAAATTCTTATTTCTAGTTAAGTGACAAGTAAAAACTCGAATGTCTAAAAATAGAATTCTTTAGAAATTCTTTAGACAAAGGAACACGGGTTTTGAATGAGAATAATACGTGATCAAAAACAGGCATTTCGTTATTTAAAGAATTTTTATTTTTGGATTTACTGGTTTTCACTTGGCGACACCGTTTATAATTGAAAATGTAGTTCGCGCCAAAATTCATCTATTTGAAGAATATTTTCTTTATGAAATTTATAATTTTCAAATTGATTTGTCTTCGAAAAGTGAGACTAACAAATTTAACCAACTTTGGCGAAATTGCGTCAAATGAAGTATATGTTTTACAAACATTGCAGCATAAATTTTTATTAAAGTATTTTTAACTATATAGCTATTTTTAATTAACTATTTTTAATTTATTGCTAGTAAAAAGTGTTTTTATTTTACTCATTCCATGCTCTCGGAAGATGTTTCGCTTACTGAGTTTCGTTCAAATTTCGAACTAAAATTTGATTCAATAGTTTTTAAATCTTTTTTTTTTTTTGTTGTAAGAATATTGTAGGCTACACGTAAATCTAATTTCAAATATAATTATATTCGTTCCAAATTTCATTGTATATTTTTAAATTTTTTTGATTTTTCATATTCTTTTTACTGTATATTCTTCATTGAAATGACTAAGTATTTATTATTGCTACATTTAAATAAATTAACAAAAATAATATCTGCCACATCATGATGATGATAGAAAGAACTCAACTTTACTCGAATTTTTCGAATTTTGGTATTGACCTTACATCATTTCGATTTCTGTTCAGGATATTTCGGGGCAGCATCATTTTTTTTTCTCAATAATGTCCAAAATTATACTATTAAAAATCCTATGTAGACTCTCGAAATTTCTACGTAGACTACTAGTCTGTGTAATAATTTGCTATATAGCTACGTATGTGCTCATCTCTAGGTATAGATGATACCGATTAATAATTTATTTAGTAAAGAGGTTACCTATACTACAAGAGATCCAGCTATTTTATATTCAATATATTATGTGAGAAACAGATTGTTTACGTCTGTCCCAAGTTACCCCTTATTATTCAGGATCTTTATTGTCTATGGTTTAGTGCAGACCAGATTTTGTCCGCACCTATTTTTAGATTTGATGATCATCAATTTATTTAATTTGTCTGTTTCTATTTCTTACTACGTGGGCGACGTGGCATACGTACTATAGCAGATCAGTATGGTATAGGTGAGCAGATCAGTATGGTATGGATGGGGCAGATCAGTATGGTATGGATGTGATTTTATCAAATCGTACTATACTGATCTGCTTAATTGTCACACCATATAAACCGGCCGGCATTAAGCATAATTCCGGGCAGAGCTAACCCTAAATTCTAGAGGGTGTGACAATTAAGCGGATCAGTATAGTACGATTTGATAAAATCACACCTATACCATACTGATCCGCTCACCTATACCATACTGATCTGCGAAACTCCTCATCCATACCATACTGATCTGCTCACCTATACCATACTGATTAAACTTACAATATTCATGATTTGCCCATCCCTACCTATATCGCAAGTTTAATCAGTTGAAAAGATGAGTAATACTTTGAAAAAAGATTGCATATATTAATGTGGTATTATGTATTTTTACAACTATTAGAAAGTACGTCACTACACTTGGATCCTTAATACGAGTTTCATGGTCATAATATGTTCCTGGTTAGTGAACATCGACCTAGTGTTTGGAACCGGTTTTATTTTTCATATGTTAAAACCGGTTTTAATATGATAAAACCGGTTTTAACATATTAAAAATAAAACCGGTTCCAAACTCTACATCGACCAAGCCGATAAAATTTTATAGCCCAAATAACCTTTTTTTATACTCATAATTCGTAACACAATATCAATTCAAAGTTAATTACGAATCGTTAGCTATTAGTATTTGACTTTAATGGAAAAATGGTTAATTTTTAAATAAGCATCAATATACTGCCCTTAGTTTACAAGTTACTGAAAAATAGGAGATGGAAGTTCTCTGTACAAATACGAATTGGACATTACTAATAACTTACTTATTTATGAAGATGTATAAAAACACTTTGTAGAAACTCCATTCTGACTTCTTTGTAGAAAAATCAACCGATCGGGTCAAAAAATCGGCTAGACCGATTTTTTAATTTCGACCGGGATCGCTATTCCGCGTGACTACGTCGTGCGACAACCCTAACATTATATATAATACTAGCTGCTCGATACGATAGAATCGAACAATTAATTTGTATTATTGCTTGATTAACAGAGGCATATTATGCAAAGTGTTAGAGCTTATTACGTAATTGCGTAATATTTTCGATCGGGTGATCGTTAGAGTTAGTTGCAGTAATGTCATTAGAGTTTATTATAGTAACGACGTAATTATGTAGTTTTTTTGATTTGTACAAGCTGATTTCTGGTTTTTTTTCCAGTTAACCTGACTTTTGTCTGGTTTTTCGTCCCACCTTTCCCACCCTCTTGAGTAGCCTAATGAGAGTAAAATTTAATCGGAATTTTAAAGTTCTAGCAAGCGGCCTGTCGGGACGAAGAATCCTTTTTTTGGTACGTGCTGTTGGAACGATAGTCACAAGGCTATCACATTCAAAGTCTTGATAGAAAGGGCGTAATGAATTAATAGTCAAGTATCAGTGGGTTTTGCCTGTCAAACGACAGTCAAATCTTAGATTTAAGTAGGTGGATTCTCGAGACAACAGTCAAAGGGTTATCGTTGTCTGTTCGTTTTACGATCAGGTATGTATTGCTAGAGCATAAGAAATTGGAAAAATTTCGAGATGGCCTGTTGAAACGGCAGCCGAAATAACTAAAGAGACTCACCGGTTCATTTTATCGGTACTCTCGAATTCTGCATTGTGTTTGGTATTTGCGACTCATCCAGGGCGGCCCAAAGTGCCAGTGACATATAATGGCGCAGCCACAATATATATATATAGAAAAAAAGAAGAAAAAGTGATTTACAATATGCAGCTGGAAGAGAACCAATAAGTTGTACTAATTGATCTTACGTCACTGACACTTCGGGAGGCAGCAGAGACAGAATACCCGTAGTATTTCATTGTTTCACAAACACCTTGATGAGGGACGAAATATGTAACTTATATGTCATACTTGAAGTTGTAACTTCAGGTTCCTGAAATTGCACTTGATTGAATTAGCCCCTGAAATTAAATCGTAATAACGCACATCTGCACGTTATTTCGAGCTACTGCGTTATTTAGGAATCATTTTCGGTATGACAAATATATTGTATTGAATATACGTATATGCAAATCGAATTAGGTTTAGATGTAGTTTAGATGCGGTAGGGGCGCGTTATTTTGAGACGCACAAACATGCAATTTTCAAAGTGAAAATTTCGAAATAACAAATACGGTAGTAATTTTAAGCAGGGGTAACTTCTGGCAGTTGCAACCTTAGGCAAATTCCAACTTCAGGCATGACATACGTATACATATTGTTTGACTAATTTGACAAAATATTAAACCTTAAATCGGACTAGTCTCAACATTGGTAATAAATGTATTCAAAATCGTAATTTTGGTCGTCCGTTTGCACCGGACAATTATTTAGTTACTTATTAGCCAATCAGATTTTACAAAAGTCACCAAATGATCTACAAAATCCAACAATCGGAAGGCTTTAGTCAACCCAAATTTGGAACAAAATAAAAACCGTTTGTCATTGTAGGATTGTTCCCAGCTAAATGTTTTATTTTTTATTACCCTTAATTACGCTTAATATTATCAAAAGGTTGTTTTTTTAAGTTTAAATTTTTTAAAAAAGAATTACTAATCTTTTGAAGTATATATTATTAAACTCATTATATAGTAAACTCTATATAATAAGTGTTGCCAATTAAATCTAATGTGAAAAAATTACGGTAAATAACTACCGGAAAGTGAGGATATTAACAGCCATAAATAAAATGTCATATGATAATAAAAACAACATATCGATATTGATAGTCTAATAAATCAAAAAATAAGTATCTTCCTTCAATGTCAATTTAAACTCGTTAAAACTTTGCTCAATTTTGTTAAAAGGTACTTTTTTGAACAATCTTGATTAGTATTAATTATGTGTTTCTATAATAATTATTTGGTATTGTAGCACCATAATAAGTATCAGAACCAGGATTAGAAGCGACTGGCGCATTAAGACCGCTACTTGGCCCAGGATTCTGGCCGGTTATCCCGCGAGTAGTGTTACGACGAAAATCGGGAAACCCAAGGTTATGATTATGAAAATTATCCAATTCCCTTCGAGGAACATTGGAAGTGTTAGGTTGACCAAAATCATCAAGAAGGGATGCTTGCCATAATTTTCGTGATATTATAGACGTTATTAAATAAACAAAGGTAATTATCCAACTAAATGCTACGCTGGTTATGTAACCATGGCACCATCCCAATATTGAAGGTGAATAGGGGTTGCCCCGTGGGTCAACTGGATGGCACACTAAGATAAAGCCGAGGTATGCTGGGTATATGTTTGTTAAAGCTACAATAAATGCAATGGTGTTCGTTATGTTCGTTAGATGTTTTTTTAAATATATATATATATATCACATAACAATTAAGCATTGTACCTGCCGAAAGCCATAATAATGCAAGACCGCTTTAAGAAAATACAAAAAGTTTACGATTAATTTTATTTGAAGTTTTTCATGCATATATACTGTATAGCAATAAACGTACAAATCAACTAATGTATCATATTCATGAGATTCAGATTGAAATCGACCGAAAGATATTATGACATGATATACTATAATAAAATCAAAAGTAATTATTAAGATAACGTATACCATTATATAATGTTCTTGTAGACTATTCTCGAAAATATAACTACCACTAATAGCGAGTCCGAAAAAAAGAATTGTCCACCAGTATGGTTTTATTCCATGTGTTTTGAACCTGTACAAAGCAAATGTAAAATTGAATTCTTAAATCAAAAGAAACTTCACATGTATAGATACGAATTTGTATACATATACATATATATATATATATATATATATACTCACCATCCATTTGAGAAAAAATCATCAGAACTTCTATCCGGAAACTGACTCTTAAAACTTACTATTTGTACGATTTCTTTTAATAACAATAATAATAATAATGGAAGAATATATTCAACATTCACATTCATTACTTCATTACTTCGTCTTCGGCAATAAATGATAACAAGAATTAAAGGCAAACCTGCGACAAGACACACAAGAATCAACAAAACAATTAATACTCTGAATGTTCTATAGATGTCGGCTAAAGATTTAGAGTTCATAGTTAAATTATAAACCAGCCACGAAAGCAAAGCTATGACGAGAAAACCAATTGACGTTAATGTTTGCCAATCATAAAATTTTATTAAGATGACAAGTGCAAGTTGGTGCAATGGTAAAAAGTGGATGTAATATATCCACCTCAGGAATAGTACGCATAGTTATTAATATAATTATTTAATGTTGCACTATATTTAGGACAAAGTATGTACTATTCTAGTGCGTAAAATTACAATGAAAGTTCTGCATTTTTAGCATTGCAATACAACTGCCTGAAAAATGATTAGCGTTGAAATTAGTTACTTTTTTTGTGAATCACTTACAATTGATCACAATAAACGTGATACATCCCGTTTTTTTTTGAAGTAAATGCATTCAAGTGTATATAAACTACATATAAATACCAAGTATATACGTATGTACGTACGTACGTATTTCAAGACCAATTGTGCGTGTAGGTATCACAACATAAATGTGGAACTCGATTAAATTGCTTGTGCTATTTAAAGCAGTAAAGACCAGGGTGAAACTAATATCCACTTTCATGTGACTCTAGTTTCCACTATATTATCGCTATACAAAATTCAAAAAATTCTGAGTGCTACCAAGAAAAAAACCCAGATTTTTGTTTTAAGTCTATAACTTCTTAATTTAGTCATTAAAAAAAATTGATATCGAAATGACACGAATGTAATACAGTTTATCGTCGTTGATTCGATGTTTTTTCGGGGGTTGTCCAACATGCTTAACCTTAAAAAAAAAAACGAAGTCTGATTTTATATTGACGGCACACACATATATAATATATATCTATATGCTAGTTTAGATATATGCTAGTTTAGCAGGAGTCACCTTTTAAAAGCTAGGAGATTTCTAGCTATAGTTTTGAAAGAAACTACCAAACTGGGATTAGCAACCTAGTCTCTAACTATTTTCATTATCTTCGCATATATTAAAAAAGTTAATAATTCGCGCAAACAATTTCTCTGACATCATATCTACCTAGATAGAATACTTTATTGACAACGCATTTATGGTAAAAACAATTTACCGAAAGCATACTTCCTTTCATAAGATATCCCGACATTTCTCCGACAGGTTAAAGTCAAAATTATAGTTAGGCTATATCAGGAAAAACTATAAGCAGAATAAACCATCATTAATTTAGAATAATTCTGCTAGGAAAATGTTTTGTCGTTTAAATGTGCCAGGAAATAATCAGTCAGTAAATTGACTACCAGCGAAATATACCCTGCTGGAACTAGAATTGCGGTTGACATTGTTACAGCTTATGTCATAACTAGTTAAAGCTTATATCGTAACTGGTTACGACATAGTCGTAACAGTTTCTACAGCATTTCTAGCCGAGACAACTTTTCAGGAAGTGGACTTTCGAGGAGGTGCACATCTTATTTAAAAGCTTTAATAACTCGCTTGAGATGTTCAAAATCATAAACAAGCTTGGAACGGCAATGTTCATCAGTTATGCAAAAAAAAAAAAAAAAGGTTTACAAGATACGTGCTATAATTTAAGAGTTATCATAATAAATTTACAATAAAAACAACATTCAGGATTGAAGGTTTTATATTTCTCCTTCCTCCTTTTTGTTAAGATCCAATGGTTTTATGATAACATTTATTTATATAAATACGTATTTAATTAAGTCTGAAACTTGATGCTTATATATTTACACAATGTTACATTTTTATTTAATAATGACATTGATACTCGTTTTAGTGATACTCAAATTAGCTAAAGATATAATTCTTAATTTAATATTAGGTAATTAGGTAAATGTACAACCTTTTGTGCCTGGACAGGATCTGTACAAATTTTCCGGATAAGGGCTATAATTACTTATCGAACTAGCATTAGGAATGCTATTACATATAAAATAGTATTCCCGGTCTTTTTTTTTTTTTAGAACATCAAGATAGGTTTAGACTGCCGTATTTCATATTTTGCGTATTTTTGTTATTTCTGTATTTAAGAATGATCTTCGTGATTACATAATTTTGCATATTGTTATAGTGATTTGTGATGTTTGCGAATTGTTTTTCTCGGTTCTTTATAAATTAAATACATACAATCTACTACCCGATGTAACGAACACTCTTATATCAAATTCATCAACTTAATGGACCAAATTTAAAGTACACATCACTCCGATTATATTGACATTCGTACATAACGACATCTTGTTATAGATATCTGGACATATCGAACAATTTTTTTTGTTTTCCATATAAAAAAAAAAACAATTTAAAATCAAATTCAGAATTTGCTCGGGTTATTTTTTTAAGAAATGAGCATTTCCGTAACAAAAATCCAGAAAATTTTAAAGGTTTTGTATAGATTTTTGTTACGGAAAATGCTCATCCCTTAAAGAAATAATCTGAGTAAAGTCTGAATATGATTTTAAAAAAATTTTTATAGGGTTTTGGATAGTGCCAATATAACCAGAGTGACTTGTATTAAGACAAACTAAAAATGGTTATAATGGATTCAATAATAAAAATGTTATATATATGTATAAAAAATAATTTTGCTAATATGGGTGCCTCGTATTAAAAAAAAATTATAGTTATCCGACAAACTCTTATGATCATGAATTTATTTCTGTCTGTTATTTTTTTCATGTGTTACGAAATATTTACCTTTACTCGAATTAAAACTCAGCCGACGACTCCCTACCAATCATGATCATAAATTATCGGATAACACCATTATTCGGC